CAACAAATGTATCACTGTAGGTGGTATGCAACTTTGTGCCAGAGACTGTACGGATAGCCGTATATTCACAGTCAAAAATTCTTTAGCAAACAAAGAGAAAATTACTCTATAAATAATCGTTTCCTTTAGCTTGAGTTTAAAATCTTTGTCTTAAGCCTTACAGGATATGCCAAGCAGCTACCCCACACTTTACCTCATCTTTTCTTCCCCACAGTCACTGAACACTTCCACCTCAGTCACCAAAATGGTGATTCTCAGAGCAACTCCTTCTCCCTGGCTTTTCATATTTTTATTGAAAATCCAGATTTTAATGGGAAAACAATGAAGAGATTTGTTGCAGAAATAAGATGTAGCAATCAGAAGGCTGCCATGAAAAATCTGAGCTGTCAAGAGAGCTCCAAGACCACACTACAACAGCTAGCCTGACAGAGTATGTAGGAAATAGAGAAGACTAACAATTCAACAAAATATATTGAGACTCCATGACATTGCAGAGTATCATCTGCAGGTTGTGGTCAAAGGGTTAAGAAAAGGGAGTGGAGGGAAGGAGGTGAAAAGGAAAAAGATATATGAAATAAATATTCAATTGTGTTCAGAGTTGTATCAGGTTTGGCAAGGCAACAGCTGTGCTCTACCCTCCATTACACAGTTTCCTGCCCATGCAACTCCCAGAATCTAACCAGTTGCCTTTTTTGGCTATAATCAGGCAGGACACAGAGGCAGTATGCTTCAGCTAAATTCAGTTTCATCATTTCCTGAGGAATCCTAAGTAACCAGCCATCTGAAGCATCCTACATTACACTGAAACATATTCCTCACTTCCTTACTGTTGAGTACATGCATTCAATACACCTTGGAGATTTATTCTGAGATAAAGACTAATTCTTTTTGGATAAGAAATATGTAAGACCACAAGAAATCTTTCAAGGGATATCCCCAGCCAGTTCTAGATCTAAAGAGAACTAAGGAAAGAAGATAGCTACAGAGAGGTTAATCAAACCCCTATTCATCCTGTGGGACGAGAACCCCTGAATTATGTCACACACAGCAAGACTGTGTTCTTCAGCTACTAAGGGATCATTCTATAGCACCTACCCCTTTTTATTCCCAGGACTGAAAACAACAACTATCACAGGGAGAAAGAACCTAACATGGCTATTCTAAAATCTCACTAGACACTAAGTTTTTTATGCCAGTACTACTAAATAGTGAGGAGATTCAAAGATGGTCTGTACCTCCAACTTCAAAGAGACTTGAAAATTGCCCTATTGCATGGCAGCAGCAAACAGTTTTATTCTCACCATCTCAAACTAGTTTTCATGTGCTCCACAAGAGAAGAATCCTCAGGTACCAGGACTAAAAAACTGGAGGATCACACTAAGATAACATGGTATTAGTGCTATTCTCAAGGCTGACTTCTAACCCACAGGGCCTCTAAACTAGCAATACCACAAACCAACCGTTAATTTGCCTTCTCCACAAGAACAGTACCAGAGGAATCAGATTCAGCAAGTTCCATCTCATGGGCTCCAAAACTTAGCTTCCTAACTTATGCTGCATTTCACTGGACATTTCTAAAAGCCCCTTAAGTGGTCAAGGAAGTAAGTCCAGTAAGCCCTTGCAGCCTTACAGCAACTCGCAATGAATGCAAGTCACTACCATTTCAGGAACAAATTAGGAAGCAATTTGTTTGCCTAGCAGTTTGCATTTTGGGTGTAGATAATTATGTGGGGCAAGGACATTTATCTTTACATGGCTATTGCGCAACTGTCAGATGAGAATACCGTTAACAATATTCTTTTTGAAGCAACACCAGTCTATAGGTAAGAAGACAGAAATAAAAAAAAAAAAGGCCATCCTTGTTTTGAGTTTAAATGCCTCCTTCCTAGTATTGTTTCCAAAAATGAAATACTACAGTCACTTCCCTGTTAACCTAGTATGCTCCCTTATTGTGGTTTGTAGCAGTCTGAGAAGAGGCTGGTCAAAGGCTGTTTGTTTTCCATTATTTCAGGTGCCAAAAGACATTCTTTTGCCATTTTACTAACGACATAATTGCCACAAAGATGCCATACAGTTACAGATGGAGGCAAAACAATCTCTACAGTCATGAATAGGACAGGACCAAGACACGATTAATATGTAGTCCAACCTTAAAAAAAAAAAATTTCAAGAACCCTTTACATATGTATTTCCCTGCAGATTCTTTTGAGATGAATAAATTAAACACTGGCTTTAAGATGCCATGCATTCCCTTCGAACTAGGCAGAACTACCCAAAACCCTCATTTGAATACAATCATATGGACAGAAGTTTGCCTTAGCCTCCGACAATTTCATAGCCTTAAGGCTTGAATTATGAGACACTTCACACACTCCTCTCCTTGAAGTATCAAGTGCTTCCCAGAAGTCTGCCAACAAACACCTTGTCTGGCTTGGAAAGGTCTAAAAGCTACCTCTGCTATAAGGTTCCTTCCTTTAGATTACAGTGTTTTGCAACTGCTAAAAACATAGAACATTATCTGTTTGCAATTTAATTTTCCAGAACTATTTCTATTATTCTGCCCCCCCCCCCCCCCCCCCCCCCCCCCCTCCTCTCT